TTCATGTTCCTGTGCTAGCTTGCTAGCCCAGTCGCCCCGTCGCTGCAAGACCGCGCGACCGGTCGCCCTGTCTAGCACAACTAGTCACGTGATACGAATGGAATGAAATCCCTGGATCGCTTAGCTAGTCTAAGCATCCCTATTTGCTATAAGAGATATGATAGTGCTCGACCTGTCAGGACACCGCCTGGTCTTCACTCATCACATGCTTACACGTGATTCGTGACAAATAGCTCCTATAGTCCCTTATTAATTTAGTCTATAATAAATTAAATTAATTCGGATTATATAAAAATTATTAGTTTATAAGGTTATAAAGCCTATACTTAAGGTTATACCTAAGGTTTTAAGAATATATTACTTTATATACTAGGGTTAACCGTAGGTTTATGTCACGAATCACGTGCTCACGTGATACTTGTCATAATAAAGAGGCGCAACCCTCGACAGGCACATCCAGGTTTCTTATAGCAAATAGGGATTGCTTAGGCCAGCTAAGCGATCCATGGATTTCATTTGGTTGTTGTCACGTGATGGACCCCGATGGATCCAGGACGGATCCAGAAGGGATCCACGGATCCAGAAGGGATCCAGTAGAACGAAGGTTCTATATAACACTGGCATGTCTGCCACTAGATAGGAGCTTCGTGCTCAACTTAGTTATCAATCTTATCATATTAGTTTGACATCTTTGATACAAGTAACGAGTTCACTTCCAAGTGAACAACCCGATAGTCTTCTTCTTATCATAGCATACCAACCAGCGAACACCCAGCCAAGTTTAGTTAGCCAGTTTGAGTATTCGTTACAGTCTAGGACTTAATAAATTTATATTAATAGCTAATCTAGAAGCTTTTTAAGTACTTATTATATTAGTATTAGTTCTACCTTTAAATACCCGGCTAATAATAAATTCGTATTAAAATCCTAGAGGTAAAAGATAGAACCTCTACTAATATAACAGCTTTGATATCTAGCGTTAAGGAATCGAAGTTATCTAATCTATATACGCGCTTATACTAATTAGTATTAGTTTAACTCTAAGTTAATAGAGCCGAAAAGATAATAAGGAAACTATAATACAAGGCTAATAGTTTAGTATCAAAGGTATTATATTATAAAGACTATTAGTTATACACACCGAGTAAAGGTGTTACAAGTGTTACTACTATTATATAGTAGTGCTCAGTGCCAAGTACGGCGCGTGAGTGGCCTTGAGTGGTATTCACTTATACCGACAATTAAACTAATCAACATAATTAACCTAAAACAATCTAGGACAATAAAGGCAATTGTTCTAGATATTTTAAACATTTCAATACTTAGAAATAACTTACGCCAATAATCAAAAAATGAATCTCTGCCACTTTTCTCGTCCACCGGGAGGTATACTCGTACAAAAGAACCATACATCGGCCGACATACTGTATCTTGAAGAGTGGGCACAATCAGATCGGAAACAAGCACCCGTTTCCCGTTTCCCCCCTCCCAACCCCAAATCGACAGGGCACACCTCCGAATTTCATTCCCTGTCGAAATACTGTATCAAGGACGCCCGCCACCAGGGAACTTACTTCATCAATGCTGAATTCCGAGAATCCGTTACCACACTCGTTCCCATTTCCTAGTATTTTGTTCTATTTTGATTTTGGAAACTGCAATGGCAAAGCCCTCGCCTCCATTATCGTTGGCCATTGTAGGCTCAGGTATCGGCGGTTTAGCACTCGCGATCGGGCTGTTGAAAGTGGGTGTGCCATGTACTGTTTACGAGGGCGCTGCTCGATTGTAAGAAGCTATCACATTTTATCTGTCTCTGTCAGACCCCCCAAACGCACATACAGCTAGGATTACTCCCTACTGCATTTGAAATACTGCACCCTGCAATCTAGAACACACATCTAAATGAAAATCCCAAGGCTGACTTTGAAGTGATAGCGATGCGATAGGCGCAGGCATTGGACTAGGTCCAAATAGCATGAAGGCAATAGAATTAATGGACGAAAGATTCGCGCAACTATACGACGAAGTAAAAGTGGGAAACAAAGCACCTGAAAAGATACATGAACAGATTGAGATTCTCGGCGCTGAAGAGGGATTTGGCGCGCTCACTGGGTGGACGGGAGGTTCGGTAGGCCATCCAGAATTCACTCGAAGTAGCGCGCACAGAAAGGCACTTTTGGATACCATGAAGAGTTTGATTCCGGAAGGGACAGTCAAATTCAACAAGAGGGTCGTATCACTGAACCAGGAGCGTTCGACAAAAGTTGAATTCGAATTTGGGGATGGGGAAAGAATAAAGGTCGATGCGGTCATTGGATGTGATGGAATCAAAGGAATGACAAGACGAGAAGTCCTAGAGTCAAGATTTCCTGAGGAGGTACCAGCAAAATATTGCAACGAATACGTCTATCGAGCTATAACGTCAATGGAAAATGCGAAAGGAATCCTGGGGACACATGCGGAAAATGCGGAATGGTTCATGATGGAATCCAAAGGTGTAGCGATGTATCAAATTTCCAAAGGCGCAGAGTTGAACGTAGTAGTCTTTGTTGAAGACAAGAAACCATGGCAAGGTGAACAAGTCGCCACGGAGGTGACGAGGGAAGCGATGATGGCCGATTTAGAAGGATTTGACAAAAGGCTTTTGAAGTTGATGGACGTAAGTGCTAGCCCGGCTACGAATATTGCGAAGGCCTTCGCATCTACTAACAGTCAAGCAGTACGCAAAGCCTATGAAATGGCCCCTCTTCCACCATTCCGATACACCGACCTATTATAAAGGCAGAATTTGCCTGCTAGGTGACTCAGCCCATGCATCCAGTCCAAGTCAAGCAGCGGGAGCTGGCCAAGGACTTGAAGACGCGTTGATACTTTCCAAACTTCTCGGTCTCGTCAATAGTCCAGATGAACTAGATGTCGCATTCCAAGTATACGACTCCATTCGACGGCCACGTGCGCAGCGTATTGTGCAAGAGAGCAAGGTAGTAGGAGAAGGATATTTCCTTACACATCCTAAATTCGGTCATGATCTGCAGAAGGTTACAGATGATGCCAACGAGAGGTTGCCGAAGATATGGTGGCATGGTTTAGCAGCAGATTTGAAGGCAGCTGAGTTGGACTTCAAGAGACTAGTGGGTACACCAGTAAAAGACGAGGTTCAGAAAGGGTAAGTAGAACTGGAGAAATCAAAGAAGAAATCTCGTTGTATTATATCCTAATTTCATCGTGTCATTCATTACACGGCCGAGTTGTCTCCTCGTAGCATCGCTCCTATATCATCCCAACACCAATCCTGGAAATGGCCGTCCGAGTCCTCAGCGAACGTCCAGAACTGTGGTGCATTTTCTCGGGGTGAGTTGAAGTAGGCATAAGTGGCTTTATGAACTGCACTGCTGTGTACCAATGCTTCATTTGATGTGAGCATAGAAGTTTCGTGAGAAGCTGCCATAGAATGTGCATCACCGCTTGTGCGAGACAATGTCATTGCTACGAATTGCTCGACCTTAGAGCTTACCTCGACGACGATAACCCCCCAAGTACGCATAGATCCTGGTACTTTGGGATTTTGCAGTTGTCTGGCCGTCAGGGTTGCGAGGTCCCGGAGAAGCTTCAGAGAATCAGCTGGATGCTGAGGCTTGTCCTGTTTTACTTGACATATAACGTCGAGGACAAGAACAAGTGACGCAGCAACAGTATAAAACATATCCCACCAAGTGACGGCATTGAAATGGTGGATTTCATCCAGTTTCCGCATTATGTATGCTAGTGATCTCCCTGAGTCAATACAGATTTCTGAAATTGTGAGAAGATTTTGTGAAAGCGGTGCTAATGCATGGTTTGACAAATTTGTGGCACGATGCAATAGAGCCGCTCTGGCTATCAAAACTCTGATGTAGAAATACTGGACATGAAGCAGCAAGAGCGGACGTTGCGAAGATGGGGCCAGTGAGTCGGTTACCTCGAGTCTAAGGTGAGCAGGCAAAGCTTCCCTCCACTTGTCTAGATCCCTTAGGCAATGAGCGGCCGGCGACAGGGGGCCAGAATGCGTTTCTTCGACTGTTGATGCACCGGCGCCAGTGGGATTCAAGGCTCGACAAGCAGAACCAAGTAGAAGAACCAACCGCTGTGACCATTTCATGAAGTCTTGAGGGCAGTGGCCAGCAACACCCACAATTCGTTCATTGGGAGGACTCACGATGCTCAAGGTGTATGCAATGGCACTGGGGCGGTCGTAGGAGGATACTTGCATATGCTCAAAGGCATACATGGTCCACCACAATTGCTTTCTAAGTTCCCTTCCAAGCGGACTCTGATTGTGCTTCACATGGTCACGATACAACCCAATTGCAAAAGCGATTCGTACGGCCGTCCCAGTAATATTCCAGCAGGCATCCCGGTGACTTGTGTTGTGGAGATGTAAGGCGGCCAGCATGAGGGTTTGCACAGTATATAAATTTGAAGTGAAAAAGACAGTAGGGAGTAAGGTTTGAACATGACGCCACCACTTTTTTTCCGCTTCAAGTGAAATCGTGATGGTGGAAACTCGGCGGGCCAATATAAACACACAGAGCAATCCACAGAGCCAGGCTGGATCGGTAGATGATTCTGATCTTGACCACATTTCATAGGTTTCCCGGAAGGAGGCCTCATGCAAGACAGGAAAATCGGAATGGATCAGATCGAAATAGGCATCAATGAGGGAGTCCAAGACTGGCCCATCAATGTCGCCCACCGCATCTGATGGCGAAGGATAGTCACTCATGAGGGAGCCTCTTCCATCGCCGGGCTCGTCATCCTCGGACACGTCGTTCTTCCCAAACATTTCAAACTCACGAGCCGGGTTGTTCCCAATCAGCCGGCGAAGGTGCAGGTGGAAGGAGAATGAGCTCGAGGGCCCAATGTACTGGACATGTCCCTGCTGATCGGGGAGAAGAGACAATCCATCGTCCTCGTCGTCCCTGGTGGCCGCTTTGGCATTGGCATTGGCGCTGTTCTCGCCCTCTCCATTGGATTGGCCACTCGTCGTCTCTTCCACCACGGGCAACGGGATCCCCAATGAGTTGCCCAACCGTTGCATCTCATCATTGCTTGACAGATCCGCTTCTGGCACGAGGCCTTTGACCAGCGACTCCAGCAAGATCAATCGACCGCCCAACGACTCGGCACTGCCATAGAGCCGTTTCTTGCGTAGCTGTGTCGTTTGACATGGGATTCCGTGAATCTCACAGTATCGGCATCGTTCCTTTCCGGCGATCCGATCGCATTTTTGTTTGCGTGTCTTGCACTTGTCACAACTTGTTTCCGTCCGCTTCCGTTTCTCTAGCGGAATACGTCGACTATGTGTGGTATTGCTGCTAGTCCCCTCCATCGGTCGGTACGAGAGCTGACATCAGTGGTGGTCGTGAGAGCATCCATCTCCCACGGGCCGGCAGGGGATGATATGAATATATACGGTGTACTGTATGGATTACCATGTCCAGGCGCACTGCATTATTGCACAGCACCACAGGCATGTTACGGAAGACGGAGGAAGACTCGGTAGACTCGGTAGACTCGGTCCAGCCAAACAATACCAGAATGCACAAGAGTGGATATGGAGATATTTCCAACTGGGCGTGGAGAATCTGCAGGTGGTTGGATGGATGGAGAACCTGGTCGGGGGGGATCAAGCGAGGAGAGGCGAGAGAGGCATTGAGAGGATGAGGACGGGACTCGGGAGATAAGCGTAACGCGTTGGTGGTTAAGTCCGATATTTGGACTCTTCAGGTAACTCCGAAAGAGCTTGCAAGTACGAGTACGCTTAATAAGCGATGGCGCAGTAGGAACGCGCACTGACTATTGACCTCGGTACCGCCGATCGCTTTCACCAAGACATCGTCGACATCCCCAACGGTCCCAACCATAGAAGACCGAAGTGTCTTTCTTTCACGATATGTACATTTTCAAAGCTCTATATACTTGTATATATACTCTTCTGCAGAGTTGTTTCATGGACATGTATATATGAATATTACATGTCGTTCTGCTCAGAGCTTCGTCACCAGCTTCATCGATCCTTCTTTCCGCGACTGCAAACCATATTCTGCGATCAACTTCTCCGCCGCCATCTCTGCAATGACATATGCCGTCGATTGCGTATGGTTGCTACTTTGCAGTCAGAAATGTATTGCGAGACGAAGAGAACTCTTTACATAGGCGAGGGGCACTTGGGCACGAATGGACAGACGCTCAAGTCAATCGCCCTACAGCTCTGCAACCCAAATATGCGAAAGGACGAGTCGACGCAGGCTGAGTCGATCGGGGTCCCCATCCGAGCTGTATAAGACATATGCCACGAGCTAAATAGGTTACCTCGGATATGTTTCTGTCATTGCGAATCAGTACAACTCGCTGCGGCGAAAGAGCATCCAGGACTCAGCCTACCCATATCTCCTCATCTGAATCGTCCGTGGGGCCGACTTTGTCGATCGTGTCAACCGCATATACAGGCGCAGAAAGAACTCGCATGGCCTCTCGAACCCCCTCAATCATCACCCGACGGTCATAACCATGTGTGAGGAACTGCGGGTCGATCTTGGGCGCGATACTCGGGTCTGCAGACTGAAGTACGACGGTTCCAAGGCTCTGGGGATTCATCAGGAGACACATTGCACCAAGAAAGCGGGTATCTGGTGACATCTCGTACGAAACCAGTGAAGGTGGGATGTGCTTCGGTAATCTTTTAGCAAACATTCTTGTCCAGCACGAATGCGATTGAAACATACCTTGGCGATCTCAATTAATGGAACCGTGGAGGCTTGAAGGAACTGCCTTTTCGGCAGAGGAAGTGCTCTATATTCATTCGATGCTTGAACGCTCGGGAGCTTGAACCATCCCATTGGAGTTGGGTTCTGCAAGTGAGGTTGAATCTGGTCGCGGCTCTTGGCCTTCATGACAATTCCTACAGACGAGAAGCAATGGTCCTGGAGCGTCTTACCCAGCATTGGTAGCTCATGCACACTTGGGATCCCATGTTTCTCCAATTCTTCTGTTGGGCCATGTGAGAGGCCAGACCTCGAATAGCTCAAAGGTGTGGTTTCGAATATTCAATTAAGAAGTGCGTGAAGACTACATACATGCAAGCTCTTCCTCTATATATAGAGAGAGGAAGAGTCTCTGGAATATTCCAGGAAGCTGCCTAACGAATACATGATGTCAAAAGAATAGAACAGAAAAGTATGGAACAGCAGAGACTTGCTTGGCAGTGGGGGAATGGCCAGTGCTGAGCGGGGACTTTGGTCAGTGCTTAGCGAGGGCGTGGCCCGAGCCTCCATCATGGGTTTCAACCCTCACAGGCCAACGCCAGAAAGCATCAAGATCTGTGGCGTATTCAGGGCCCTCCGCTGACGATTACTTCTTTTCTTGCCAAAATAGTCTTCCCATCGATCGTTTGGACACCGATCGCTCTTTTGCTCTCAAAGATTATGCGAGTAACACCACTATCTGTGAGAATTTTAAGGTTCGAGGGTTTGTTCCTCAAGTATGAACTTGCTGAGGTGATTCTCTCGCCTTTGTGGATGCACACATTCGACATTCCCATACCAATTGGATCACCAGAATTAATATCCTTGTTCGTACGCAATCCTGACTCTTCTATGGCTTTGAAGATGTCCCCTACATCTGGTATCCACGAATCTCCGTATGTGAGATCAATCATTCCAGAGGCGCTATGATCTAAGGATGATTAGTATTGTTTGTTCAGGGTCAGATAGCAGTCAAGTGACTCTCCGTACCTCCAATATTTGGATCTATGTATTCCCTCAATTCAGGAATTGGAATCTCGGGATGAAAGTTTTCAATTTTCCTTAAACACCGCTTTGCGTTGTACCATTTGAAAGCATCATCTTTCACAATTCTTGCCCACTCATCATAATCATCTCGTGGGCCGACCGCCCAACCGCAAAAATTGATGGCGGTGCTCCCTCCCAATCCCTTCCTTCTTGAATAATCAATCTCTTGGCCTGTCAAATGGTTTTGTGGAACTGTCTTATAATTCCAGTTGAGAGGTGAATTTGGGCTGAACGCGACTTCGAATCGTTCCTCTCCAGATAACTGCGCAACATTCTTGTTTGAGCCTCCGGCTTCGATGAGGAGAACCGATGGCTGGGATCCGGTGTCTGCGATTCTAGAAGCGACCACACACCCTGAAGCACCCGCTGGTATTCATCAACGAGTGGCTCATCAAGTCACAAATATTTGGGAGGTGCCTACCGCCGACAATGATGAAGTCGAAAGTAGCTGACATCCCGAAAGTGCAATATGACGAGCTATGGTGTAGATGTGATATCAAAAGGGGCTGGGGTTTACGCCACAGTCACTAAATAAGGTGTTTTGCGAATTGAATGCGGCTGAACTGCTACGCTCTGAGACTAGGTCCTGACGATTTTCAACCTTTTTTCTATCAACAGAGCCCTGTGTTGTGCTTGCATCCGACGTAGTGGTTCAACCGTTGACTTGGATATCGAAAACAAGGTTAGATCCGCACTGCTGTTTCAGTTCATATCCACAATCTACACATGAATAGGACCGCTCCCATTGGTTGTAGATTCCTTATCTCATAAATGCTCCATTTTCTATATTCGTTTGATTGATGCTACCTCGCTGTCGGTACAAGTATCCGATGAGCTTCGTATGTCGACCCTAGCAAGCGTACCGAAGATCCTAGAACTCGCGAATCAGAGACCTCGGCCATGTCTGAAAGTGTCCAGCCCCGTGGACTGCTTTCTGGGGTCATGTAGGTATCTTGTTGATACCAGTAATCATCCTCTCCAATTATGGCCTTCCCCTTATCGATTTGGGGGCGCATATGGCATACAGACTACGATATATCAATTTGGGGATATTGGGTACGAGATGTAGCATTGACATGCATGTCAAAGTTCATATTAGTTTAGTGCCTTGTCCCCTCAAAGCTCGGAGACCTGCATATTTTCAACCATCTCCTCAATTTATCAGAGATGTCAATTTCGAATTTGTTGCAACGACTTGAAGTGAAGCCTACTGATGATGAATTCGAGAGCATCCAGACCAGTAGGTGGGGAAATAAGGATGTTTATCCTGTAGCTCACGACAAGCGAACTTATGGTGTTTATGCATTTGTTAGTTATTGGGGTATGTTTTTCTGCTTACTCTATCCTTTCGAGGAAACAATGCTAACCTGCCATAGGAACCTGCGGTATTTGCTTGTCGTCGTGGACCATTGGTAGTAGTTTGATTGGAATTGGCCTCACTCCTGGACAAGCAATGGCTTCTGCGGTATGGAAATCCGAGCATTCCTCAGAATGCGATGAATACCGACCAATAACGATCACTAGACGATTCGTATGCTCTTGGCCAGCGGCACCGCTTTTCTGAATGGTACACCTGGTGCAAAACACCACTTAGGCTATGGCATGCTCAGTCGTGCCGCTTTCGGGCTTTTGGGGCTCTTACTTTTGTATTATGCTGAATGTTTTTCAATATTTTGTTTTCTACGTGAGTATTTCCCAGGAAGAGCATTGGAACCAGATACTGATCAATTGCAGGGTACTCAAATGTACTTTGGTGGTCAAGCTTTTGTTATCATTTTGAACTCGATATTTCCGACCTTTTTGCGAATGAAGAACACACTTTCACCAAGGTATGTCAAATTTGATACTGTTAGTGCTATGGTGCTATGCTGACTATTTAGTGCTGGTATCACGACTCCAGGTTTAATTGGATTCGTACTATTTATCATCCTCTACTTCCCAATCATCTACTACATCCCAGCATATAAAATTCAAAAGCTTTTGGAGGTACAGATCGTAATTGCGACTGCTACTCTGCTGGGCATCATGGGATGGGCGGTACATGTAAGCCTCTGTCCTGAATAAATCTTTGGAAGAAGTTAATGCTAACAGGTTTGAAGATGAACGGTGGAAGTCCGGGAGATCTAGTATCACCAGCTATCAAACAAACTTACCAAAGCCGAGACTGGACTTCGTATTATGCAAGGCATCACATCTGTCGCCGGGACATATACAGGAGGAAGCGATCGGGTATCAGACTGGACGCGGTACGGACGAGCGAGACACACATCCACGCCTGCAATTCTTGTCCTTTTTATAACTGTAATCCTTACCGCATTAGTCGGTGTGATCTCCACCTCAGCCCTCTCAAAGGTCTATGGCGAAATACAATGGAACCCTCTCATAACACTACAAACCGTGCAAGCAACAACTTATACACCGCTCTGTCGCGCAGGCTCTTTCTTCGCAGGTCTCGGTCTCCTCTCCGTAACCGTTTTCGTGAACTACACCCAGAACTGCGTCAGTTCAGGAATGGACATCGCAATGCTCTGTCCACGATATTTCTCCCAACGGCGCGGGGCAATCATATTCTCAATTTGCGGTGTCCTCGCACAACCATGGCGATTCCTTACTGGATCCGCGACTTTCATAACCGTACTCTCGTCATTTGGAGTCTTCATGTCCCCGCAGCCGCCATCCTTATCGTCGACTTCTGGATCATACGACGCACGAAATGGGACATCCCCCAGCTCTACCAGCCCGGCGGGATCTACTGGTTTACCGGCGGTGTCAACTGGCGCGCTATGGTGGCTTACTTTATGGGCATGTGGCCTGCGCTTCCGGGGTTTGTGGAGGCGGTGGGGGGTTTGCAAGTTGATATTGTTTGGAGACGATTTTATCAGATTAGTTACTTTTTTGGGTTTCTGGTTGCGGGGGGACTGTTTTGGGGATTTAACCTCTTGGGTCCGGTGCCGAAGGGGGGACAGGTGGATTTTGATGTTGATGGGCATGTTATTGAGGGGGTCGAGGCCGTGGATGAGGAGAAGAGGGGGCTGGAGAGCTTTGTCGGGAAGGTTGTTGATTAGGGGGTTCCTTAATGATAATTTGGTAAGTTAAGTTCTCCTTATTCTATGGTCTATATATTTAGTCTTAGATTTGGTCTGGAGACCCGGATCTAAACAAAACTTTGTTAATATTCATATGTTAAGTCTCAAATGAGGTGACGCTAAACTGTGATTGTCTTTATTTGCTCGCTGATACTGCACTGAGTATATTACTGTTGGTTTGACTTATTCAGTCAAGTGGATGATGCAAAAGACCCATATTACTATGGTAATAACGAAGTCTCTGATGTTGCATTGTCCGAGCAAGTGTAGCTAGCTAAGTGCCTACGTACTTATAGATACCAAAGTACGCTAGCGGAGCACGCCAGTATCGAAGGAGCCGCTACGCTCGGAGCTAGCTAATCATCATTCACTATTATAAAGCGACAATTACAAAAGACTTGAACTTAAATCATGTGTGGGACTTGTCTTTGGAGTATTTAAATTCGCGATGAGTATTACAGACATCTGAAATTTCCGTCATAGATGCAATTTTGGATTGTTCAGTATATACCCAGGCCTCCTAGAACCACTTCGGAGCTATACATATAGTAACGCACGCTGCTTTCCGGCACTCTTTTTCCCACCACTTTAGCGAACACCCTTCCTCTCTTCTACCAAGTATCGATATCCAGAATAATACATACCGGCTTCAAGCCTCTCTGCCTGTCTGAATATCCCCCCTGTCGTATCCGAAATCCATCAATGTCCCCATAAAAAACCTTATCGTACGGATCGCCGAAAAAGAATACCATCCCACTCCCACTGTCTGCCCCGCCAACATGCCCAATCGTTGGAATTACGCCACGTTTCCGCAAGAGAAAATCTTCAACGTCGGATACTGGCATGCGCTCCACACTTCTCATGGGCCCAATCCATAATTGTCTGAGATGTTTGCACGGGTGTGAGAAGCTTGACAGGGTGTACGCTTTTAGGCTATGAGGTGGCGTGACGTCCGGACTTTGGAGGGGCTTTGGATATTTTGCTGCCAATACATATCTGAAGATTTCACGAAGTTTGAAACCTAGCGAGATTATCGAGATCTTGCAAACATGAGAGAAATACTTGAAGCGAAGTTGTTGATCAACAATGAAGTGAGTTTTAGCGGTTTACTGTATGTGAGCAAGGACTGACGAGGGGCGAAAGCTTGTCCCTGCGTCAACAAACGAAACCTTCGACTTTCATTCTCCATACGATGGAAAGCTTATTGCAAAAGGTAAGTCCCATCCTCCACGCTTGCACATGAGTCTGTACTAAAATCCCAATTCACAGTCCCGGAAGCATCTGCAGCAGACGTAGACTCCGCCGTCTCGGCAGCTTAAGCAGCATTCCCATCATGGAGTGCCCTCTCCCCAATCCAACGGGGAGCCCCTCTCAAAAAGCTCGCCGACAAGATTCTCGCCGAAACCTCATCTCTCGCTGAGCTTGAAGCTCGTTCTATGGGAAGACCGATCAGCGATCACTTTGACGCCAGCTATGCGACAATGCACTTCAACTACTTTGCGGAGGCGGGGTACGCACAAGGTCATACGAGTTTGAATACTCCGGGTTTCTTGAACATGTCATTGAGACAGCCGTTTGGAGTTGTAGGGATCATTATACCCTGGAATGCGCCTTTGGTGTTCTTTAGTAAGAAGGTTGCTCCCGCTCTTGGTGCGGGGAACTGTGTGATTTTGAAGAGCAGTGAAAAGGCTCCTCTTACGGTTTGCCAACTTCTCGAGAGTTTCATTTGAACACGATACTAATAATCATCTAGTCCTGGAAAGTCTCAGAATGGATTTCAGAATGCGGTTTTCCACCAGGAGTCATCAACGTCCTCTCAGGGCACAACCACATCTCAGGGGCGGCAATGTCCTCACACATGAAGATTCGAGCTATCTCCTTTACCGGTTCGGCACGCACAGGCAAACAAATTCAGATCGCAGCAGCGCAATCGAATCTCAAAAAGGTAGTTTTCGAGCTCGGCGGGAAAGGACCGTCCATCATCTTTGATGACGCGGATCTCGAAGAGGCTGCAGCGAAAACGGAATTCAGTATCAACTTCAATAGTGGACAAACCTGTATGGCCAATAGTCGCATCTATATCCATGAGAGCATCAAGGCGAAGTTTACCGAGACCTTCAAAGCTTTGGCGAGCAAGAGGAAGATCGGGAATCCATTGGAGAAGGGCATTAATCACGGGCCGCAGGTAGATAAGATTCAGTACGACACAGTACTAAAATACATCGAGCTCGGCAAAAAAACCGGGAACCTTCTTCTCTCGGGAGAAAACTCATCTACAAATCTAACCGTTCATCCTGTTATTTTCACCGACCAACCAGAAGACTCTCAAATCATGAAAGAGGAAATCTTCGGTCCAGTCTGTGTCATCAACACCTTCAAGACCGAGGAGGAAGTCATCGCCAAAGCCAATGATAGCGAGTTCGGCTTGTATGCTTCGATATGGACGAAAGATCTGGAACGGGTGATGAGGGTAAGCAAGAAGATTGAGAGTGGCATGATTGGTGTGAATTGTGCTAGTCCGACGAGTTGTTGGGACTTGCCGTTTGGAGGGTATAAGCAGAGTGGGACTGGAAGGGAGAGTTTCTTGGAGAGTATGAATCACTTTTTGGAGGAGAAGACTATTTATTATAAGGTTGCTGGGATTGGGGGTTAAGGACTGGGCTTTTGATTAAGCAGGTAGAGCAAGAACTCTACATATTTACATCAAAATTTCCATATTTATAATCCGTATTTGCAAATCCGACATCCTAGATTCGCCGTGTAACTTTTAACCTTGTGACCTACAAAGTCTTCTTAGAGGGGCAGTCAGTGGTCAACTATTATGCTAATATCATTTTCCAAGTGACACGTAGATACGAGAATCTGTGTCTGGTTCCTTCGCTTCCGATTGAGGCTCGTATTTCGTTCGATAATATTAAGTGCCACTGTGAGATGCAACAGTATCATTCTATCATTCTATCGTTTAACGGGGAAATCGCACCATCGGGAAACTATCTTCTCCTCCTGGAGAGGTCATCCCCAAATTATCCGCGCCTGAAGCTAGGTCCGCAACTCAAATCATCTCGGATATTCTATTGTCCCTATTCGATGAAATATAGCGACCATTTTGACCATCTTCATATCATCGACAGTATATTATTGGGTCCAAAATCTAGAAGTCAGTTAGAAGAGGCTGGGGGCTGCCTATGAAGTTGTATAGAAGCTTGTACTAGAAGAGAATAAGCGATTTAACCTGGGTCTGCGAGGAGAGTCTTCTATATCACTAAGGGCTTCACAAAAAATAATTAAAGATTTAGACAAGATATCTGTACTTTAAACTGACAGGTTGTTCCCAAGATATCAATGCAAGACATGGGCCGCTACGGAAATGCACCACAGAACTAACCTCTTTACCAAAGGCCCTAGACCTAGTGAATCTAATACGTATGTATTGAAATTTGTTTTTTTGGTTTTTTAAGACAATTCTTTTTAGCTGTATGTTGTATAGCCAAAAAGGTAGACGACAATTAACGTACTTTTTTTATAGAAATCAGATTCTTTGGCAAAATTCAGTATTTACTTAATAGAAACAGATATTCCAGACAAAATCTTCAAGGAAGTATCCCTTTGAGTGAGAAGAGTAATGATATTATTGGTGAATATATTTAACATATCAAACAACACGTGAATCCTAGCCGAAGTCACCAAGGAAGACAGCAGCCAAATGAGCCCACACCTGTACGCAAGCCACGAGCAGCTAACGCGAGCCTGACTTTTACTAGAACAAAGTCTTCTGGAACTAAGGAAGCAGAGATTGAGGAAGTGGAAGAGTGGGAAACAGCCGGAGAGGAGTTGGGAAAAGAATAGCCTCTGATCAAAGCCGCGGTCAGAGGCCTTTAGTTGTAGGAAGTGATTTAAGAGAAGCTTGGGAGCATTTTGAAGATTCCATGGTAGGCGATCCATTTGTTGTATCGGCTTTACTAAATGATATCGTTTTTGCGAATACCTTGATCGATACCGGATGCCTTGCCTACGGACTATGTGACCTACGCTTTGCTCAAAAACACAACCTTCCGCGTATGCCAATTAAACCACGTGATATTACTGGCTTTGATGGTAAAGTCACGTCGTCTATTAATGAAGTTGCTGTGGTTACACTAGACTTGTACGGTTATAGAGAAGAGAAAGTGTTCCTCTATGTTGTGCCTATTGGCGACTATAATATGATTTTGGGAATGCCATGGATTACGGCACATGATGCTAGGATTAATAGACCTCGCTCTGAAATGAGAATTGGAGCAACAAACACGATTGTACGAAGTAAGGAAGCCTTCTTTAAGAAGCAAGAGGAGTTAAAACGGTCGGCGCAAGTATCAGCTACGTCATTTATAATGATCAAGAACCGACGAAGTCAGAAAGCCCAGGTCTTCGCAGCTAGTATGTTAGACATCAACAAAGCTCTTAGAGTAAAACATAAAACAGACCCAGCAACGAAGCTACCACAGCACTTCCACGAGTTTCTAGACGTTTTCAACCACCAGAAAGTAGAACAACTACCACCACTACGAGGACCAGGTACTGACCACGCTATCGAGCTCGAGTTAGTAGACGGTGAGTAGCCAAAGGTACCATAGGGGCCTTTATATAGTATGTCGCGCGATGAGCTCCTCGTACTCCGTAAGACCTTAACAGAGCTACTTGACAAAGGGTTTATACGAGTAAGTAACTCGCCAGCAGCTGCGTCAGTACTATTCGTTAAGAAGCCGGGAGGTGGATTACGGTTTTGTGTCGACTACCGCGGTCTAAACCGTATTACAAAGAAAGACCGTTACCCTCTTCCTCTTATCTATGAGACTTTACGGAATATTAGTAAGGCAAAATGGTTTACAAAGCTTGATGTCATTGCTGCTTTCCATAAGTTACGGATCGCAGAGGGGGACGAGTGGAAAACTGCTTTTCGGACCCGTTACGGACTTTACGAATGGATGGTTACTCCGTTTGGTCTTGCAAATGCGCCTAGTACGTTCCAGAAGTATATTAACTGGACCCTGCGAGACTACTTAGACGAATTCTGCTCTGCCTATATTGACGACATTCTTATATACTCGTCTGGGAGTAGAAGTCAACACCGTGAGCATGTACGCAAAGTACTCCAGCGCCTACGAGAAGCAGGACTACAGATTGACATTGATAAGTGTGAATTTGAGGTACAAGAGACGAAGTACTTAGGGTTTATTCTTGAAGCAGGAAAAGGACTTCGAATGGACCTAGACAAGATTAAGGCAATTGCTAGCTGGGAAGCACCAACTTCTGTTAAAGGCATACGAGGGTTCCTTGGGTTTGCCAACTTTTATAGGCGATTTATTAAGAACTTCTCAGACCTCGTACGACCGCTTACAGAACTTACACATAAGGACCCAAAATTTACCTGGACCAAGGAAGCAAACGCAGCCTTCGAAAAGCTTGAGGATATTTTTACTTCAGCCCCAGCACTTGCTAAATTCGACTACGATAAGTCTACCCGCATTGAAACAGACTCTTCAGGCTGGTGTATTGGTGGTACGCTACAGCAGTTAAGCGACAAAGGCATGTGGGTGCCATGCGCCTTCTTTTCAAAGAAGAATAACCCAGCGGAATGTAACTACGAGATTTACGATAAGGAAATGCTTGCAATTATACGTTGCCTAGAGGAATGGGATGCCGAGCTCCGAGGGGTTAAGAATTTTGAGATTCATACGGACCATAAGAACCTAGAGTACTTTATGACAGTACGGAGACTCACGGAACGACAAATGAGATGGTCCTTGATTCTCTCTCGATATAACTTCCGTATAGTCCACGTTCCTGGAAGAGAAAACGAACGCGCCGAGGCTCTGTCACGACGAGACCAAGACATGCCACAGGACGGATCAGACCAGCGTTTAACTGATCGGAATATGCGACTCTTGAAGCCTGAAATGCTTACACCAAGTCATATAGTCCGTGCCTTACCAGTAACAATTCACTCTCCCCAGAGTCAAATATTAGGGGAGTTACCAGACGAGCTTACTAACTAGGATCAAGCTCTTACAAATGACGTAGAGTATGTTCAAGCCAGGGAAGCTGTAAAAGCAGGTGCTAGAAGATTCCCGACAGAGCTTCACCTTAAAGTATATATCTCAGAATGCTCTTTATCTAACGAAGGCTATATGCTATTTCGTGGAAGGAAATGGGTTCCAGATAGTAATAATCTACGGACTCGCTTAATTCAGACTACCCACAAGACTTCTACGACCTGCAAACTCGTCACCATTACCTGGGCAATTGATCGAAGAAAGCCAGCCACCAGCAATGTTAATCAACAACACAGAGATGTACGACATAGAGTGTATACTTAACCAAAAGAAAGCTCCTGGTAGGGGTAACCGGCTGAGATATCTAGTCAAATGGGAAGGTTACGGGCAGCCAACGTGGGAGCCAGAGTCGTCTTTGGAAAACACGATTGCACTTATCGACTGGAAAGAGAAAATCAAGGCTGGAACGATCGTTATAGGGGAGATTGTAAGGAGCAGACAGAGGCCCCGTCGCCTAAGGGAAGGAGGGGGGTATTGTGAGGGTTGGAACCCATGATGGAGGCTCGGGCCATGCCCTCGCTAAGCACTGACCAAAGTCCCTGCTCAGCACCGGCCATAACCCCACTGCCAAGCAAGTCTCTTCTATTCTATACTTTTCTGTTCTATTCTCTTGACATCATGTATTTGTTAAGCAGTTTCTTGGAATATTCTAGAAGCTCTTCCTCTCTCTATATATAGAGGAAGAGCTTGTATGTATGTAGTCTTCACGCACTTCTTAGTTGAATATTTGAAACCACACCTTTGAGTTGTTCGAGGTCTTGTCACGAATCACGTGTTCACGTGATAAGAGAAGACCAGGCGGCGTCCTGAAAGGTCAAGCACTATCAGTACTCTTATAGCAAATAGGGACGCTTGGGCTAGCTAAGCGATCCAGGGATTTCATTCGGTTAGTATCACGTGACAGGGTCACATGATCGTTGGAGCTTGCAGGAGCTTGCGTTGGAGCTTGAGGATCTTGGGCTCCCCGTAGGCTCCACGAGAACGAAGGTTCTACATAAGACTGGCACTTCTGCCTTTAGATAGGAGCTTCGTGCTCAACTTAGTTATCAATCTTATCATATCAGTTTGACATCT